GGGTTAAACTGGGCTGCTCCTTGAGGGCAAGGATTCTGAGGCTTCGTCTGACATACTTTGGTCGTGTTGTGAGGAGGGACAGGTCCTTGGAGAGGGATATCATGATTGGGAGGGTGGAGGGCAGGTGCAGGAGGGGAAGGCCCTCTGGGAGATGGAGTGATTCGGTGACTGGGGCAATCAGAATGAGTGTGTCGGAGAGTGAGATTGGCACAGGACAGAGCAGAGTTTAGAGCTGTTGTACATAGAGTCGCTATGAGTCAGAAGTGACTTCACAGCACATAACAACAACAAACAACATGCCTGAAGTATGTGAGGCAATACCTCATCATTCCTGCCTCCAAAGAGCATTCTGGCTGCACTCTCTCCAAGACATGTTTATTCTCTTGGCCATCCATGTTCAGTGCTCTACTCCACCATTACAGCTCGAAGACATCAATTCTTTTTCTGTCATCCTTGTTCATTGTCCAGCTCTCAGATGCATAGCAAGTAATCAGAAAGACTATGGCCTGAATCAGACACACCTTAGTTCTCAAACTGACATCATTACTCCTCAATAATCTGGAGAGGTTTCTAACAGATTTTCAGTGCAATGCTTCTCTTTATTTCCTGACTGCTCGTACCAAGGGTGCTAATTATGGATCCAAGCAAGATGAAGCTGTTGACAGTTTTTATTGTTTGTTTTTATGGGGAGGTTTCTAGTCATTCATTGTTGCACTCTTCCCCCCTATCCATCTCCCCACCCCCACCCCCCAATTGACTCTTATCCTTGAAAAGAAAAAGTCTTCCATTGTTAAGCAATCCCTCTCTCCCAAGTCCACTCCACTATGCAGCGTTTACTCTGGACTTCTGTAATGACAATAGCCATTCATACGTCCCTTTTAAACAGTTCTCTCCCTCATCTGTTTCAATGCAATATACATCATTCCTCCCCTTCTTTTCTGTCTTCCCTCAACCCCAGTGTCAGTCTTGTTCTACAACCGTGGCCCTATGCAATATTTGTCCTTTTGTGACTGAGATATCTCACTCAGCATAACCTCCTCTAGGGTCATCCATTTTGCATATTTGATGAGTTCGTTTTTCAATGCTGCATAGTATATACCACAGCTTCTCTATCCATTCATTTGTTGATTGGCACTTGTGTTGCTTCCAGCTCTTTGCTATTGTGAACAAAGCCACATAAGCATGGGTGTCTTCAGTGGCAGTCCTGGTTTCTTTAAATTCCCAGTAGTCGAATTGCTGAGTCAAATGGTATTTCTATTTGCAACTTTTTGAGAAAGCCCCATACCGCCTTCCATAGGGGTTGCACCATTTTACACTCCCACCAACAGTTTCTCCACAACCTCGCCACCATTTGATGTTCTGTTAAATTTTGCTATTTCTTCTGGGGTAAAATGATATCTCATAGTTGTTTTGCTATTGACAGTTTTAACCTCTATCCATCAGGACATCATATATTGGTCATATATTGGTCTTGACAATTAGATGCAATCCATACTTAAGGCTGTATTCCTTGATCTTCTGCAACAAGTGCTTCAAGTTCTCCGGACTTTCAGCAAGTAATGTTGTGTCATCTGCATAACCCAAGTTAGATGAGTCTCCCTCCAATCCTGATGCCACACTCCTTTTCATAGAGTTCAGCTTCTTGGATAATTTCCATAGGTATGGAAAGAGAATACAGCCCTGACACACTCCCTTCTCAATTTTAAACTATGTAGTGCTCCCCTGCTCTGTTCACACAACAGCCTTCTGGTCTAGGTATAGGTTCCCTATGAGCACAAGTAAGTGCTCTGGGATTCCAATTTTTTTTTGTCAGCTACTACTTGTTAGGATCCACACAGTCAAATGTCTTTCCATTTTGTTTGGAAAAAACCCAAAGCATCCAGAAGAATGAGTTATTTAAAAAATTTTATTTCTTTTGTTTCTAATAACATAACAACAACAACAACAATGTACTTTTTGGCCTTTGGTAAAGAAGGACACTCAAATAAATTCTTTGGGCCCTACATGGGAGAGGGCCTGGTATGGGAGATTACAGCTCAAGGCACCAAGCTCTGTGATGTACTCCCTGACTCTTCAAAACACACCAGAGTAGTGCTGCCAGCACAAATGCTGATCCCATCAGGGCTTTGGAACAGCACGTGGAAGTCACCCAAGAAAACGAGACAGAGAATACTCACGTGTGTGTGTGTCATGGTCGATTTACAGTACCAGAACGTGGGAGAGAAAATAAAAGGCACTCATTACTGACATCACTCGGGTCCTGCCACAGGCAAGCCTCAAATGACTCTGCTGTTATCAGGACCAGCAAAACCCTGTCAAAGCCTACTCACAGAACAACAACTCAGGTTGAAGATGAGTGAGCTCACAAGCCAAAAACGTGATGAGGAAGCAAGGCACCACTGGGAAGAGTCAGCAAAAGCAGCTAAAACAAGAATTTGTAAATCAAGAATCTAAGGAAACAGAACAGTACCTATAAATGATACATTAATACCTAGAAACAACTATTTGACTGATAGAAACCAACAAAGTAGCAAAGACAAATCCGAAAAGTCAAAGAAAACTTTAGATATTAAGTCTGGACAGTGAAATTAGAAATAACATATGGGATTCATTAAAAACAAACACCAAAGTATCAGACAGGGCCAAGAGTAAAATTAATGAGAGACAGACAAAGCTACAGACAATCAACAGATTTTTTTAAAAGAAAGGGTATATGTTCAAACCAGGTCTAAAAGAAATCCAAAAGGAAAAGAACAGAGGATAGCAATGAGGTAACAAAATAAGAGCATCTACAATCTTAGTGAAGAACACAAAAAGCTGGACAAGAAAATAAAACATCCACCTGAACTTCGTGGGTCACAGTATCTAAGGGAAAAAACCTCTTAACACAGGGAGAATATTAATTCATACTTGTTAATCATGCCTTTCACTGATGCAGATACATTAACAGAGACAACTATTAGATTTTAGAAAGAACAGCAAATGCTAATCAGTGGCCTCCGACTCCATAAGCTCAATGGTAAAGGTTTAACTTTAGAAAGCTTTCATTTACTTCATTATCTGTCAGTTTAAATAAAATAAAACTGAACCCAAATTCAAGTTGATATTAGGTGCTATCAAGTAAAACTCTTAAAAGCAACCCTGTGAACACCAAATCTGAAAAACTGTCCTCTCCTGTGCCATCCTTATCATTCCCAACATATTTGACACCGCTGTCAATAGTCAATCTTTCTTCTTGAGCCTTCCTTGCTTTCACCGACCCTCCACGTTTCCAAGCATGATGTCCCTTTTCCAAAGAATAGCCTCTCCTAACAACATGCCCAAAAGCATGTGGGATAAAGCTTTGCCATCCTGGTCTCTTAGGAACACTCTGGCTCTTTACTTTCTCCAAGACACATCTGCTCTTTCGTCATTTCATAGGGTACTCACTACTCTTCTCCAACACCAAAACTCGAAGGCACCACTTCTTCTTCTGTCATCCTTATTCATTGTCGAGTTCTCAGATGCCCAGAAGACCATGGCTTGAACCAGGTTTTCAAACTGACAACACTGCTCTTAGTAATTTGGAGAAGTCACTGACAGAAGACTTTCCCAATGCTATGTGTCTCCTGATCTCCTGACTACTGATAAAAAGAGAGGTTGATTGTGGATGCAAGTGAGATAAAATTGTTGACAATTTCAATCTTTCTCCAGCTATAAGTACGGAGTCCTGGTGGCACAGTAGTTTAACCTAGCCTTCCAGTGGTTAAAGAGTGTCTGGAACCAAGTAAGTTAGGCAGTTTGAACCTATCAGCCACTCCGCAGAAGAAACATGCTGCAATTTGCTTCCTAAAGATCTGTAGCCTTGGAAACTCTATGGTCAGTTCTTCTCTGCCCTATAAGGTCTCTTTTAATTAGTTTAAAACAAACTCAATAATCTGTGTAAACACATGTAGGGACATAAATTTACACACCAAATTATGTAAAGTGAGTCCTTGATTTTTTATTCTAAATTTCACCAGAGAATATAACATTCTACTGTATTGTATCTTTCCACTTTCCTTTATGGCAATTAAAAGTTCTGATTTTTACTTCCAAATGCATCCAGCAATAAAGTATCTAGAGGGGATTTTGATGACAAGAACCCCATCTTGTGGCAAAATGTATTACAACCAAATTTGGCCATACACTGCACTGCCATCCTCATTCAGAAGATGAATCTGTGTTGAGAAGTTATCCTTTTTATCTGCTTCACCAGACAGAATTTCTAAATCAGCATTTATCTTACGTCTATGACAGAACCAGAGTATGCAGTACATTTGTGGAGCACAGTAATTCTGGGACTTTGTGAATTATTTTCGCGTGAAAGCTGGAAGTCTTCACATAGCTTACTGCAGGAATATTTTAAGAGAAAAGCAAACACAGATTCTAGGTAAGCTTCTGAAATATTATCGCCTGCTTATTCTAGCTACGGTTAGGATATCCACTTGCTACAAGTGAACTCATTTAATAACATGGTCACAAGTCAGAAATTTCCCAAGATAACAATTGGCACCTATTTATTGCCATACAGAACAAAGCTATCCCACATCTATGTTTCATTTTATTCATACATTAATTCTCTAACTGGTAGTTTCTAATCTATTTCTCATCATACCTTAAGACACTAATATTAGACTTTAGAAATACTGTCACATATTCTCCTTTAAAAACAATGTCTTTCCCCGACTTTGTGTTTCCACTTTGCTTTCCAATGTACAGATTTTGAAAGATTACTAATGTGCAAAAAAACGTTGAATAACACAATGCCTGGCGTTTAATAACAAATATTCACTATTATTATTATTGCCATATTTTAATGACAATAGAGCACTAAAGAGTAAGAAACCAAAAAAAATGTGCATTTATCATGCTCACTGTCAAAAGCTTAATGAAAAAATCTCTATCAATTAGGAAGTTCAAAAAAAGACTGAAATAATACTTTTCTTCCATAAAACCCAATTTAAAAAAGACAGTAGAGAAATATTAAAACAGCATTTTATTTGTTAATGTCACATAAGAAATAAGCAAGTTATGCTATCTTAAAAAAACACAGCTAATACATTTTAATAAAGGCCCCTCCCCCACCCCCGATGAATTCAGAATCTAAGAGAAGTAACCATAAAACAAAGTTTTGCAGAATCCTTCATCCAGAATGCTTACATGATGATTAGGTTAATATTTCCTTCTTACAAAAATTTTTCTTTTCTATTAAAAAAAAGAAAGAAAGAAAAAGTAACCTTGATTACTTAGTACAAAAAAATTCGGTAAAAAAGTTCAATATATTGAAAAATGCTTTCCCCCTCCCTCACAGCACCGTTATATATAGCAGAGAATAATCAAGAGCAGATTGCTAATCTAGACGAAGCAATCTTCAAATGAACCCAGAAACACAGTGGTTTATCCTGCCCACCCCCACCCTCCAAGAACTTCAATTAAAAATAAAAACCAAACAAAAAAAATCCCACACATACATATCAAAAAAAAGGTCAAAAATTTTGAGGAACCCTTTCCAAACAACAGTACACAGTTAGTTCAGTGTCAATAATTCACATCTTGGAACAAAATGTATGGATATGATTTGTTTTACAAAACTTTCAGTGTCAAAAAAGGAAATTAAGGCCATCAGATTCGCAGCTTAAAAATTCACATAAAGGAAATATAAAAATATTCTGTGCTTCAAGAAGGCTCTGCACTGTTATGTAGGTAAGGATTACCATACTTCTTTATTTTGAGGAAGACAGTTGACTTGAGAAGTTTACATAATTGCACAGCTTTTATTGGATGTTCTTGGGGCTACCTGATGAAGAAAATATAAAGAAAAGTTAGTGCTAAGGAAACAGATTGCAGGCCCTTAGACACTCTCAAATACCAGACAAGTCTATAAGATGAACAGAGGCACACACTATATCAAGCAACCACACAAAATCAAAGGGTCATCATTTGTGTGAGGAGAAAGCTCAGAAGACAAGCAGGGTATGATGGACTAATACCATCATTAAGCACAAGGAAGAACTGGAAAAATGCTATTGTATCTGGAGGATTGCAATCAATGCCACAGAACAAAACGTGTATGAACTGATGGATGTTTCTATAACTTTTCACTCAATTACAATAAAGAATATTTGCTGTAGTTGTTTTTCTTTTTTTTAAAAAAAAGAAAATGAATAATAACACTACAAATTATGTTATTAGAGTTCTCTTTTCATAAAGGGATACTACAAATGCATACCACCTATTTCAAACGGACCCTTAGCATTTCTTCTCATGTAATAATTTCTGTGGGCTTCTTCCCTGAATATGGCAACAAATTCAAGAACAGTGAGCAATTCTCTACTCTGGTTACACATTTAGAAGCTTCAGTAGTTTCACTTCAGGAGTCCACTCAATGGGTGGGGGTGTGTGTGAAAGAGTGAGAGAAATCTAAGTATCGTAATATTCAAATTTTAAAACAACTGTTTGATAGACTTTATTTACAAAATAGAAAACAGTAGATGATTCTTAACAACCACATCAGAGAGTATAGCTTGCTAGATCCTGGCAATCACATCCCAAGACATTCGGCACTGGATTCATCCTTGAACAGCACCTGTATTCATTTCTTTAGGGTAAGCTTTGGTAGTGCAGTCGATAGGGAGATATGCTGCTAATTGAAAAGTGGCACCTCGTGCCTCTCTGGTGGTTCAAATCCATCAATGGCTCCAAAGAAGGAAGACAGGCAATCTCCGATTTGACAGCAGTGAATGAGTTTATTAATTTCCTTATTACCCACTAGTTCCTTAAAATAAAGCTTTGGTAATACAGTCAGTAGGGACTTTACAGCAATGCAAAGGCAGCACCTTTCTGACTGTTTGATTCCACCAGTAGCTCCAAAGGAGAGAGTAATCGCTTCCTGGGTGATGTACAGTCACAGAAACAAGTTAGTGGAGACTCAAAGTCAATGAGTAAATCAATTTGCTAATGGGAGCTCTAGTAACCTAACAGGCAGTGAGTTACACTGCCAACTCAAAGGCAGATGGTTTGAGCATCCCAGCTCCAGGAAACATGATTTATAGCTCTGAAATCCTGTTGGCGGAAGAGGTAATGAGTTGGTTCTGACTGAACAGTAATGCGTTAAGGCCTTACAAATACAATTTCTGGCTCACCATTCAAAATGTTTCTTTTTTTGAAGGTCACCAAAGAAATATTATCATGAACTTGAAAAGCCTATTTCTTATACCCCAAAGAGACCGTAACTGCCATCCAAGCAGATATATGCACACCCATGTTTATTGCAGCTTTGTTCACAATAGCAAGGAGTTGGAAACAACCTAAGTGACCATCAACAAACGAATAGATAGAGAAGTTGTGGTATATTCACACAATGGAATGCTATGTTGCATTGAAAAACAAGGAACTCATGCAATATTATTCAAAATGGGTGACACCCTGGAGGACATTATGCTGAGTGAAGTATCTCAGTCACAAAAGGACAAATACTGCATGGTGTCACTGTTGTAAAACAGGACTGACATCGGGGTTGGGGGGAGACTGAGAAAGATGGATTCAATAATGTATATTGCATTGAAACAGATGAGGGAGAAAACTGTTTAAAAGGGATATGTGATTAGGTATTTTTGTCATGACAGGAGTCCAGAGTGAAGGTTGTACAGTGGAATGGATCTGGGGGGAGGGACTGTAAAACAATAAAAGAATTTTACTTTTCCAAGAAGGTAGTATTCTGGGGGGAGTGTTGGGAGGAGAGAAAAGTGCAACAATGAATGAATGAATGGAAATCCAAAGTCTCTGTAAATTTTCATTGAAATTAATAATAAATTAAAAAAAATTTAAAAAAGGCCTATTCCTGACCTTTATCTTCTTTGAGATTTCTGAAGGATCTAATACTGTTGATTACTCATCAGTCTCCAAATTCTCATCTCATAAAACATCTATCCCACTTGCGTTGAAGGCCCTATCTAATAGATTTCCTCCCAACTACATCTCCACCCCCTTTACCATGAGTTGTGAGTATTCTTCATAGTGTTGTCTTTGATCCTTAGTTTCTTTCTCTCTCCTAAGTTGTTGTTGTTAGGTGCAATGAAGATAGTTTTGACATTCATAGAACCAATGTACAACAAAATAAAAGACTGCCCAGTCCTTTGTCACAGCCACTGTGTCAATACATCCCACGGAAGGTTTTCTTTATTGCTGATCTTCTATTAAACATAATATGCTTCTCCAGAGCCTGGTCCCTCCTGAACACGTTCAAGTACAAGTATGGAAAAGATGGAGAAACCTGTCTGCCATGAGTGACCCTGATGCTACTTGAACTACTAGTGGCAACGCTTCCACTATCAAAGCAATACACACGCCACTGCAATGTGACAAATGGACAGGCTTGGTCTCCTCGTTCTGCTCAGTGACCTTTCATCATGTTACCAAGGATCTAAAATGTAATGGGAGGAGATTGACTATCCTCCTCATGAATAGCTGGTGTATTTGAACTGTTGGAGATGTTTGGCCTTTGGGTTAGCAGCACAAATTAGTAAACCTATTCACAAAGTTTCCATTACCTCTTTATGGCTATGGTGACTCTAAGTCTCATTTCTTCAGCTACCATCTTGGAAATTTTCAACTGATTTCGTTTTGGTGTAATTTTCTCTAATGACCAAAAAAGCCTCACTTATCTTTGCCTCCTTCTTCCACCCATCCTTTCTTATTACCCTCAAGTCTTGTAGCGGGCTCTTCATTTACATACTGCCCTCAGAGTGCATATGCAATCTACAGCCAGCACTCCCTGTGATATTACAAAATATGGTTCTCAGTTTTAAAATTATGCACTCAAGACTATGGGTAAATCTACCTCATATAATTCATCTTGAATGGTTCTTCACTCTGGGGATAAATACATAACCAAATATTTATCTGACATAGAATTTGGGCTTATGAAGCAACATGAACTTAAAAATTGTGAGAAAAAGACAAAAATCTCATAAGGATATGTGAAGGAATTTTGATTAATGTTCTGAGTGTAACAGCTTGAGAATATAAATGGAAGGCTCATTAGTTATTAATAATCCTAATTTAATTAATTAAAATAAAATTCTGAGTTTATTTCAAGGGCTCTTAATGCTGTACTTTAGTGTCTCCAAACTTTTAATCATAAATCTTTCAGTAAATAACTTTTCAACTAGTATTTCAACTCATTTATACTTCTAAGTATAAAGTGTATTTATAAATATGCTGTCCCCTACTATTAAGAATGGTTTATGCACATTGTAAAACAAAGGTAAGACTGAAGTTTACACAGGGATAAAAGGAAAAAACAGTATTAAAAAAGTACTAATGGTTTCTTCCATTACTACCCTAAAACATTATTTTGAAGATCCTCCTGGAAGTGTAAATCCCACTTAACAGGTAATTACTCTAATTCTTCAAGAGGGTAAAACCACCTCTTTCAACAGGGGAGAAACAACACTATCATTATTTATGGTTTTTATTATCCTAAAAGTAAAATTGAAAATGTATATATTAAGGTAAATAATAACCTGCTGGTGAAAAAATTCTTCCTCCACAGCCACTTCAGGTGCTTCCTCCTCCTCCTCTTCCTCTTCAGGTATGGTTGTCTTAAAAACTGTACTTCTTTGAGCAACCTCCTAAAAATAATGATAAATTGATTTTAAGTTAAAAATCAAACTTAAGATTAAAAATTCTTTCATTTTCAAATGACATTGTGTGGGATCAGATTTTCTTCATACACTTCCACTAAAACACCACATTGGAAGAGACTGAGTAAAGTTACAGACATCTTCCATGAAGGTGGACATTATAAAAAATGTAAAACGATGCTGTTCTCATTAATTTTGGAAATATTGTAGAGTGAAATAGCCACAAAAGGATAAATACTGCATAATGTCATGGTTATAAAATAGGAATGACTTAGTGGTTAGGGGAAACAAAGGGAAGAGTGGATAAATAAACAATGCCTTAAAACAGATTAAAGAAAGAACTGTTTAAAAGGAATACATGATTAGGCAATACTTATATGAAAACAGTCTAGAATAAGAGGTACATAGTAAAGTGGACTGGGAGAGGGAAGGGAAAAACTTTGCAACAATGAATGAATCCAACTTTTCTGTAAATTTTGTTAAAATCACAATTCCTCTATCAATAACTGTTTTTAAAGTCATTGTATAAGATTTAGCAGCTGAATAGGATTTTTTCGCATAATTAGAAATAATTCTTAGATTTTCAATATTCCCTACAGGGGAACTAACAGCATCCAATCTGAAACATCTGCTGAGAAAAATCAAGTTTTTCTTATCGCATTCTGTTACTAAGAATCCTGCAAATAATTTGGCACAGTAAAGTCTGTATAAAACTCAAGATAAATTTACCTTCAAATTCTCAGCGCCTACTAATGTTATCAGATGCTACTGATTCGACCTTAACCATGGTGACTTTATGAATAACAACTTAAAATCATGGCCTATCTAGTGCCATCCTTTCAATCTCGACCTGCTGGATAAAAAGAAATGAGGCTAACTGTCATGATCTCATCCTGCATGGTAACAGGACCACTTGAAGAGCGAGATGAAAAGGATAACTGACTCGTCCTGAATGAAATGGAATCAAGAGAAATGAATTAACTACTAACATTCAAGTGAGGTCCCAAAGCATTCTGTACAGAAAGAAATCTTATATTATTCACTGGTGGTAGGACAAAATGTGATCATTTCCATTTTCTACTAAAAGGATCAAGCACAGATTACTTTCTTGTAGAGAACGCTAATGTGACACAAATGCAGCAGTGGCTTTGTTAATAACAAGGCTAACCTGATGATACAGCGGCAAGTAAATGAGTTTTTCCTACAGACTGCTGCAAAGCATCTAGTTTTGCTTTATACTATGTCCTACGGTTACTCAACGGAGATTAATTGCACAGAGGAAACAGTTAAAAAATTGTGAAAGCTTATCTAAAACATAACACAGTTTAAAATGGCAAAAGAAAACAGAGGCTTCTAAATAAGACTTAAATTTTTAACTATGAACAAGTATGTATTTTCATTGTTGTTGTTGTTATGCACCATCGAGTCGCGACTCATAGCGACCCTATGTACAAGAGCTCTAAATGCTGTTCTATCCTGTGCCAACCTAGCCATCTCAAACACACTTATTCCTACTGCTCCAGTCACAGAAACGATCCATCTCACCAAAGGTCTTTCTCTCCTTCACTGCCCCCCTCCACTCTGCCAAACATGATGTCCCTCTCCAAGGACCAGTCCCTCCTTGCAACATGCCCAAAATATGTCAGACCAAGCTTCAAAATCTTTGACTTCAGGGAACACTCTGGCTTCACCCTCTCCAGGACAAACCTGTTTGTTCTCCTAGCAGTCCATGGTATATTTAACACTCTTCTCTAGCACTACAGCTCAAAGGCATCAATCCTCTTTCTATCAACCCTATTCACTGTCCAACTCTCTGATGCATAACACATAACTGCGAAGACTATAGCCCGATCAGGCACACCTTAATCTCCAGCCTGACATCATTGCTCTTCAGTACTCTTGAGAGGTCCCTCACAGCCGACTTTCCCAATGCAATTCGTCTCCTGATTTCTTGGCTGCTGTTACCAAGAGTGTTGACTGTGGAGCCAAGTAAATTAAAACTGTTAACTATCTCAATCTCTGCCCTGGACAATGCAGCCTGAGGTTACCTGTGTTAAAATCTGGTGATCCTGCTTTTTTTTTTTCTTCTGTATTTTCGTAGATTAAGTATTTTGTAGGCTTTTGTTTTTGGTTGGTTTTTTCTTTAATTGTTGTTGGACTGGCTTTGCAGGGTCAAGGAAGATGTTAACTTTGACTCTCTTCACCAGTCTGAAGCTTCAATTCTGTGAGATCAGTCTATGTTTTCAAGTTTTTCACAAAACACTGTGAAACAGGCATTTCACAAAGATCAGCCTGTTTTGATGAAATTAGTAATTGAAAGCTGGTGAATACATCAAAAGACAGGACAAAGAGACTATTGACTCTCTAACCCAATATCTCCAGCAAATTGAAAAAGAACAGCAAGAAAACCCGACACCCTTTAAGAAAACTGAAATTATAAAAACAAGAGCAGAAATAAATGAAATAGAAAACAGAAAAACAATTGAAACTATCAACAAAACTAGGAGTTGGTTCT